CAAGCTGGACCATCGTCAAAACAAAGGAGACACTGGGAGAGATGAGAGGCACTTCACACCCAGTTGGTGGGACCAGTTTCGGGTGACGTCTCATCAGTCCATCTACTCTGGTCATTTTGTGGCCCTCCCTCCACCAAAGCTCACATGAAAAGTGACAACCCCCCAAGAAGAAATCATTCACATGCAGCCTGTGTACACCACTGAACACAGAAGCCAACTCTGGGCGGGATTCAGAAAGCACCCCGGAGCACTGCCTTCCACCGTTCTCCCCTGGTTCAAACGTGAAAGGCTGAATTTGCCATGAAACACAGACACAGTCCTGAAATCACAGATGAACTCTGACAGGTGTTTCCTGCAATCTCATTAATACCGGACAAGAAGTCAGCACCACATTAATCATTAGCCAATTGTTGAAAATTAACTAATGATCTATAAGGACAGTCATGGAGTCGTTACTCATTGATTTACTCATTCGACATGCATTTCCTGATGCGCCTACTATGTGCCAGGAGTAGACCTACCTCCACAAAGCTACATCCCTGAACCAGACTCCATTTCCAGCCTCTATGGACTCCCGCTACAGCTTCTATTCAATTCTATTAACTAGTCAACCAAATGGCAGGCTGCATACCCCCCAAAGCCCTGCTCACAAAGTGCTTCCCATCACAGCTACTGAACAGAGTAGATGGGCAACGGCTATAAATAGGAAAGTGTACCGTGCTAGGCAGAGTCCAGTGAGGAAGCAAGTACGTACTTGGGCAGAGAGGGCAGGAGGCAGAGAAGGCCAAGCAGAGGAGGAAGCCCTTGAGTTGTCCTGGAAGAACAGCTACAAGCTAGGCATGCTGCACTACATAAGAAGTTCAACCCAAGTGGAAACAACAGAGCAAAGATCTACGTGGGTATCAGTTCTGCATTCACGGAGCCCACAGCCAGGATCCGTGACTTCTGGTGCTATATTACACCTCACTCTACTCTGCAAACCACATGACCGTGCAGCTATAGTGAGCCTGTCCGACTAACACTATCCACGGGGGCGGGGGGGGGGGGATATCACAGGGCCTCATCCCACAGCATCCCTGGCCACTGTGGTACCCAGTCCCAATGACAAGTATCTGTACCCCAGAACAGCTTCTCGGAGGGGCTTCTGTCTGCTACTTGGAGCCATGGAATCGGAGCTGCAAATGTGTAAGAGCCCTGTCTCTGATTTCATCTCGGAGAGCTCCTAAAGGGACCCAAGAAAATCCTCAATGTGACTCAGAGAAAGGACGGGGCACTTCAGGAAGGCACTGTTCCCAAGACACCCCTTCACTTGGCAGTCCCAAACGTTGACTTACTGAACATCTACTATGTACCACGGTGCCAGGCATGGGTCAGGGAGCTGCCAAGAGGCTCACTAAAGACAAATCGCTAAGTACCACGAGAGAAAGGCTCAGCTAAGATTGTTCAAGTCTTCAGATCTGGGTCAGAAAAGATGTCGTACAGGAACCTATGCTTGAGATGATTAAGCAGCTACATGGAGTCATCTCAGGGGAGGAAAACAGTACAAGAAAAAGACAGGAAGTGGACAAGCAGAAGAGAGGTGCCCTTGGGGGCTTGGGGTGAGCAAATGGAGGGGGCGCAGCTGAGGAGCAGAGAATGGACCAACAAAGGCCAGGTGGCCCCAAGCCATGGTGTTTGGCCTCTCCTCGATGGGCAATGGGAGCCACAGAAGCCTCGGGGTCACTCCAGAACACCATCTGATAGTTTGGGGGATGAAGAGGAAGAGGATGATGGCAGGAATTTTACAAAGGTAGAACACCAACCCTGTAAAAATACATACATGTGAGCGAGATGAAGATGAAGAGACGGGCAAACTTTTGTTCAGCTTAAAAACTTATTTCGTGAGACCTGGTCTGAGGGAGGCTGAGAGGCACAGAAGCTGAGTCATGGAGAAGCCAGGCCCTCCCAAGGTACCAGGCCACACAGCAAGGGTGCTTTGCATGGGTAGGTGGGGGTTCCCCTTCCAGACGACTGGAGTATGGCAGAGAAGTGAGAGGCAGCCTGTGGGAAACTGAAATCTGGAGCATGAATGAAGTCAAGTGTGTCCACCCCAGGGGAACGGACCTTGCGATCATCCCCACTCCGACACCTGACACAGAAGAGCTTCTCTCCTTGGTGCCAGCAAGAAGAGAAAGGAAATGATACACACTTTACATGGAACAGAGGAAGTACTGCTACCTAATGGGAGGGGTATTACTGTGGGAACCCAGTGAGCCGCACGGTTTCCATGGCTTCAGCCTCCACTCAGCAAGTCCACCAATGAAAGCTGCATAGAGACTTGCTGCTCATGCTTTAAAAAAAATAACAATAGTAACACTCTAACCCTGGGAAAACTTGTTGCCACCAAGGTAGTCTCCAAGTCCCCAACGCTGGGTGTGTTTACACACAACACAGACTGGACCCCAGGGGGATGGTCACATTTCTTAACTTGCGAAAGTATTCATTTCGTTCATGTGAACTAGGCAGACACGTCAGCCATCAGCTAGCCCTGTATCTCAGTCCAAGGACTTGTCCCACATACTCTCACCAAAGGCAAAGAAAACGGCCAGAGCCCAGCCCCACCCAGCCTTGCAACCCATGTTGGCCTCTGCCCTTCGCTTGGTCACTCACATTAAATGAAAGGTATTTACTACCGATGAAAAAGGAGCTTTGCTCAGCTGCCTCTAAACCCATCCCAAAAATAGAGCAATCGCTTCGGTCCAAATCAGGTCAAATGTACAAAAAATTTAAAAAAAAATTAAAAACCTGACTCCCTGGTGGGAGGACAGACAGGGGACCTTGCTCAGAGTCGGGGAGAAATCCACCAAGATCCTCCCTTCCCACAGTGGGAAAGGCAGTGTTTCAAGTCAGACAGTGTATAAACTCATCTGACCACGTGACGTCCACGTGAAGGGAAGGCAGGGACTTAATGCCCAGAGTCTGGGGATGTTCAGTGAAGAAATCAAAGGGATATATAGCTGGCCAGCTAACACACGATCTGCCTCTGGTCGGAACAAGTTTAGTACTTCAGAACTACCCAGAAAGCACCCAATAGGAAGGGCTACAGGGGAGAGGGGGGCTTTAGCTCTTTCCCTCATATTGCATTGCTCACTTCTTAGCTGAGACGTCCAAATGGTCTGGCACTTCTCTTAGTGTCCTGAATTTCCTCGGGAGGAAGTAAATCTGAATATTAATTGGCTTACGCATTCAGCTACATTAATTATTCCACTGATCTAAATTAATCTGCCATTCTGAAAGGTATTTATTTTCTAAGTTTGTTTAATCATTTCTCTTGAGCTACAGAAGGCAACAAACTGGGTCACCATTCACGTCGTTAAATTTGGTAACAAGGCTGACACCATCTGTGGCCTAGACTACGATGACCCATTCCCATGGATGAAGGCTTTCTGCCACTTCTGCTTTCCCTTTTCAAAATGATAATCAGAAGTCTACAACTGAACCAAAGGCCATGTAAAATCTCCGAAGTCTCACAGGTAATCTCTTACAGAAGAGGTAGGTAAGTAGGTGTGTGTGTGTGTGTGTGTGTGTGTGTGTGTGTGTGTGTGTGTGTGTGTGTGTTCATTCTTATTAGGCCATAGTTTTCAGGAGTAACAGCCAAAATTTTTAATTCTTTAGAAAGCAAACTGCCAAAACCCAAAATACAAACAGACATCATGTTATACCTGAAATATACACCGCATTTAAAATGTCATAAGAAATCCTGAACATAAACCATGAAAGCCAAATTCATAAAAACATAGCTTCCCCTCAGGCTGCCAGCCAAGCTCTGCCTGACCAGGGAAAGCCTAGTGCATAGAGCGTTCTTTGCCCGGTTAAAATGCTTCCACACCACAATCCAAAGCAAATGGAACCAACTACAGGAGGAGCTGAGCTTCCTGCTACCCAGAATTCCCTCCTTCATCTACCATTCTACATGGATTCTGATTGTGAAGAATTAGCCCTTGCCAAAAAAAAAAAAAAAATACTGAAATGGCTTCTGCATCAGAGAAGAAAGACAACAGAACGTCACAGGTTTTTTAATAATCCTAGTGGTCTTAGCCAGTCTCCTTAACTGCCAGGTGGGTGAATGGTAATGTAGAAAGGTCTGAGATGTGTCCCTGCATATGCCCAGTGGGCAGCTGAGTGGGACAAGATCCAAATTTCAACCCAGTGTTCTTCAGTGCCTTTCTTTTTAAAAACTCTATCAACTTTTCCCAAAAGGAAGTTCCATGAAATACCAGTTCCATGATATCAAAGTCTTCTGCCAAAAAAAAAAAAAAGCTTAAAGAATGCATAACCAATTACTTTCAGTGACTAGCTGAGTTAAACAAAGTGAAATCTGCTTTTTAACTGCACAACTTCCCAGAGTTTTTTTTCTCAGCTCGTGTACACAATAAATTTTTAAGAGGGCAATAAAGTATATGGAAACATCCTGGAGCATTTAACCACGACTCGTTCTAAAATCTACTTGGAGTATTTTTGTAGGCCATGGGGTATAAACTCCACTTTCATACTTATTCAGTTCTCAAATTGTATTCTATATAATAAGGTTTGTTGTATTCTACATCTATAAAAATTAATAGTTTACATGCAAAATCCATAATTCCTATCTACCAGGAAAATTAACCACAGTATCCACTACTCAAAAACAACACTGGAATCTTTAAAAGCTAATATTATGTACCAAAAGCCTGTGCAGAGAGAAAAGTTATTTTAAAACCCTTCTACAAATTTCTTCCATAAAAGTTCCATCTCTATTTATATAAGACTCATGACTTTGAACACTTTCATTCAGCATAAACCTAAGAATTCAGGTCAAACCTAAAAACCTGTAACAACAACACAGCCCCACTGTTACAAAGCTTTGGAAAATACAGCGTACATAACTGTAAACTACACCATGCACAAAGCTGGCGGCCAGCTTAGGTACGAGGCAGGGGGTAACTGTATACCATCACAGGAAGGAATTCTAAGTCACTTACCAAGTTATGATTTGTTGAATTAGAATCATCTTCAGGGAATGGGATGTAAATAGCTAAGGCCACACAATTGGCAAAAATAGCCAATAATATAAATATGTCAAATGGTCTGAAAGTTTTTGTTAAGGAATATAGGCATTATGCAAACATCGGACATCCCTCTTATCACATTCCCAATCATTCGCACTTGAATTGCTTTTAAAATGAAAACCACCCACCCATCACCCACCACCCATCCCTTTACCCACAGACACGTTGTTTTGTGACTACTGAGTTTTCAATAGAAATGACTTTCTCTGTCCCTCACAGTAGGTTGTCCTATGCTGTGACTTCCCCTCAGCCTTTTCATCTACTGCAAGGGTCATGTCACACTGGTTCTTTTGGTGCACACTGTGTATTAAAACCTGGAAGCAAAGAGCTGTTAGTTGGGTCACTGGGTAAAGTGGGTCTCTGCTTTCTGTGCTTTGGAAAGTGGCAAGGATCTTGCTACATCACCTGTCATAGACACACAAAGGTAAGCATTATGACACTGACCTCTCCCACAGATCCTTGTCCCTGGGCTACAGCCATTTTCTCAGAGGCTATTCCTGGTCCATCTAAACTCCTGATAGGGACTGAGCCAGGCAAAGTCACTGGGACTATCTCCATCCTCTCTGTGAGCCTGGGTGACACGTCCCAGCCCCTCCGATGCTGTGATAATCAGGCTGCCAGCTCTCTCCTCTGCCTTCTCTACCAGAGTAATCAATAACTGTAACTGTTTCAGGTTAGAGCTAGGCTCTGCTCACTTCATAATGTGCTGTTTCTGTGTTCAATTTATAAACAAATTAAATTTAAAAGCCACCAGAAATCAGCACCAGACACTTTCAAAATAGGCTCTAACGATTTAAAATCTCGGAGGGCTGTCTGGAAGAGTCACTCTGAGATGAGCCTTTAACAGACACTTGCTTAAACATTCTGTTAGTAGGAGACATTGTCAACACTGGCAACCCAAATCTTGACATCTGGCCAACAGCTGTTTCCTGGCCCTTTTCAAGCAGCAGGTTTGTTGAGCACCGACCTAATATGCAAACTCCTGGGCTTGAATTTCAACAGTGCTCATGTATAATAACCGTTTCCCCTCAAGAGGCAAGGCAGCAGTCTTACTAAATCCCTCCAGGTGCTAAAGATTCAGGGATAGGAACAGTCTCCTGTTGATGGCCTTCTGGGAACCCCCAAAGTGACACAAGAAACAAATGCTCCTTGCCTGTCTGCAGACAGATAGCTTCGGGGTCTACACGCCTCACCCCTTTGAAGAGCTTGGATAACTCACTGGAGTAAGGACAGGAATAGCATTATCCTCTTACTAACTTTGATGGGTTTATTTTTAAGCCAGTTAGCTTTAATCATATTGATTTCTCAACTCCGTTATAAAATCTTTTACCCAGGGATCTGACTTTAGGAAGACTTCAGAATTCTCTTTTCATTTTTATTTTTTTTTTCCTCTTTGCAGGTCCCCTCTGGCACTTTAAGTCAACAGCCCTGAAGCCATTCCCTATAAAGACACACGTGGACCGAATCCTTACAAGTACTTCTCCTCCCCCACTGTCTTGCCGCCTCTCCTATTTCTCAGTAAACACCTAAAATGATAAACCCACAAATCTGAGAACTGCCAGCACTGTTCGGGAAGGTAAACGCAAGCCTCTGGGGTGGTTCTTGGCAGTGTTCTAGTTTCAGTCAAAAGTAGAGGATATCTTCCCACTACAAGAAACAGGTGGGTCTGAGTGGGCAGCTTCTGATAAGGGGGACATCTTGCCCCCCACCCACCCTCTTGCCAGCCTACAACAACAAACTGTCTTCTCCCAGGGCTCACTGGGCCTGACTGAGCTGCTGAAGAGAGACATCTATAAGCTGTTCCCTAAAAGGGAAGGGGTCACTTACTATCTACCTGTTATGGAAACTGTCGCGTTGTACACAGACATCCCGAACGGGCAATCATGTCTCCTAAGCCCTGCATACACACTTGCATCAGGCAACTCAAGAAAGAGGTAGTGGTGAGACCCAGGAATTCGTTCTGACATGTAAACTGCGGTGTACAAACTCCTGAGCACAAAGGGAAACAGCACCTCATTCCACCGGCAAGGAATGACTCCGCTCAGAGGTCTTCAGACGCCCCATACCAACCTCAGAAGGAGGATGTGTATCCAGCGAGTTCACGCCACCTCTCAATTCCAGCGGGACCACCTAAGCACATCCCTAACTTAGCAGCCCCCTCTTGGCCTATCTGAGTGTTCTGTCCTCAGACTAGAGAATTTAAAGAGAAAATGCACACCCACAGCCCCAAGTATGTGAGAGACGCCATAACTCATTCTAGAGGAGAGACATCTGTGCTAAAAGAAAAAGCACGTGAAAACCTTCATATTCTGCCCTGGCATTCAGCTGCTCTCTCCAAAACCTTTCTAGACAGTTACTTCATTTTAACTCCTGTCCATGAGCAGACAAAATAAACGAGCTAAGACAGAGATCATGCAGACAGCTGCCTCAGTGGGAACCTAGATTTTTAGAGGTCTTCAGCAATCTTACAACATGGCCTCTCCCTCCCCTGAGCCTACTGAGGAAAGCTCCACGCACACACCTCTGCCTGCTGCCAGGAAATACTCAGAGGGCCTATCGGCCCCAAACACCCTTCTGGGGAAAAGGGAATGCTTTATTTTACCCAGCCCAAAGAAGCATTATGATTAATTAGAAAGCATGTGCTCAAGAGAAGGCGTCAGCCAACCTTTCTAAGGTGGTGGGGCCTGGCCCCCAGATCTGGAGAAGGGAATGAGCAGGTAGAAGCAACGTTGTTTTCTAAGATCTGGGGCATGGTAACGAAAGTTCAGTTTTCAAAATACAGAGACCCTCAGAAATGTGACTTCAGTCCAGTCTAAGGATACAGTTGGAGATCACACACACACACACACACACACACACACACAGCCCCTGCCAGTTCCTCCCTGAGAGCTGACTGTCACTCACAGTTCTGGAAGGAAGCAACGCTCACCAGGCTCCCCTGCACAGCTTCTGAGCACTCATGGCTGTACGGCTTTTTTTTCCCCCTTTGAGTTTATCAAAAGGAAATTCCAGGAAGTCATGGCATTGATCAGCCAATGATAATAAGCAGTAATAATATTAAAGGTAATCCCTCCCTAGGAAGCAAATGTTCATGTTTACAGCTACCTGCACCCTTAGAATCACCAAAACAGCAGAGCCAGAAGCAACCATAGCATTCACTGTAGGTGCAAAGGCAAAGTCTAGTCATCGGAACCAGAAGATTCCACTAAAGGTCACTTCCAGTACAGACTGAAAATAGTCCCAATCTTTTTTTTTTTTTTTTTGAATCAGCATTCTTCATACAAGCTAAATGAATATAACTGCCCCCACAAAACATAACAGCTTTTTTAAAACAACTATCTGGTATCCTAAAACCAAAGGTCACTTTCATATTTTAACTCCCTACCACTTTGAAGTTGCAGTCTTCACTCCCTTCCCCCAGCAACACACACACACACACACACACACACACACACACACACACACACAGATGTCAAGGCTAAATATACCCATGGAGCCTCCCTCCACAAGCTAAGATAGGAAGCTGTAGCCCGTGAGACCCCTTGCCTACAGCTTCTATTGCTCACATTCCAGAACGCTAAAGAAGCTGTGCTAAGTGTCAGTGCAGACAGCACATCCTTTGGAAGCACAGATGGTAAGTGAGAAGACTTCCCACGGAAAAAGGATACTTCCACTCCACTATACTAATGCAGGCTCTTCGGATGGGGTTATTGAGCGATAAACAGAAAAGGGCGCGGGCAGGCCGGCTGTTGGACGAGTTACCCTGTTTTTTGCTCTTGGCGTATTGCTGACGTTTTCTTTGGGACAGGGATCCTACAGGTGGCGGTGCAGAGGTGCTCATGGTCTGGGCGGCCTTGGCCTGTCTAGCAGCATCGATTGCAGCTTGCCAAGACAGGACCGTTTGCTTGGAGCTGTTCGGCTGAGAAGTTGGTCCTTCACCAGAAATCGGGAGTCTGGTGCCTCTTGCATAGTTTGCCTCTGAGGAGAAGATGAAAAGAGATTTTTAGAAATGAAAATAAAAGACCTCAATCCATATTATCTGTAAAAAAGCAAAGGTGTTGCCCATCAATAATAAAAGGAATCATTCTTGTGTTTCCATTTGAACCTCGTGTCCTATTTTTCACAAGCAGTGGGGTTTGGTCAGGCAATACAAGAAAAGTGCAGAGCTCTGCTCTGAATGTCAATCATGCAGGATCATCGCTGCACCACACCCAATCACATCTGTGCTCTCCCATACCTGGGTCTTCAAAGAGAATCTTTCAGTGCATCTCTCTGACAAGCTGAGGCTAGTCTCAGTTTATCCCATGTCTTCTCTGTCTTTGAAAACACATGTATCTCTCATGGTCTAACAGATATGCACCACTGCCTTTCTCTGAAATTAATTACTAACACACACAGCCAATAATTCAATAGTCTTAACCATTTTTAAGGTGTTCCTCCAACATCTTTCCACAGCCACAAATGCATTTTTTTTCTACATGAAAAAAAAAAAAAGTCTTCACTGGCACCAGGCAATACCAAAAGCCCCATAACAAATATCTAGATTATGCACTAACACTTCCTGCAAATGAAAATTCATGATGCTTGGGACTCATTTCCTCCACAAGCTTCCGAAAACAGAAAAACATCTTTAGGGCTTTTTTGCATTTTAAATTGCAGCAGCAGCAGCAGCAGCCAAGCCAGCATCCAGTCAGCCTGCATCCCTACACCTAAGAGACAGGATGCATTATGCCAGGGAGCCTCAAGGCCTGTTCGAGAATTCTCTCCTTGCTTGGAGCTGCTCCAGAGTAGCATCCAGGTACACACAAGGCGAAAACCCAAGGGGGCCTCCATGTGTGAGGCGCCCCTCCCTGTGCGTCAGGCCATTCCTCGGAAGGTCTCACAGGTGCCCACACTGGGTCCCCATCGCCTCTGCTAAAGCAGAAGTCAAAGTAAGAGTGGTGGCGGAGAGGTTGGAGGGATAGGCGTTTGCAAAACCAATTATCACTGAGTAAAGCAATCACAGGTCTCCTGCCCGGCAAGCCTGAGACAAGCAAAGCAGGCAGGCGGCACACAATCTGAGCTCAGCCACTAGTCTTGCCAAGCTTTGCCTTTGAGAAGCGCTCACCGGGAAAGGCGTCAAGCATACCAGGGTGGGAAGATGCCAACGACCTCCAAAGAGGGAGGCTGGCCAAAAGCCACCCCAACCTCCCTAGACCCAGCCCCGCTGGTGTGGAAACTGCACGTGGTGCTGTGGCGGCCGGGCTGAGTTGCAGAGCCCCACAGCGGCAGCGACTCTCTGGGCATTGCTAGGTTACGGACGGACGTGTGCACAGGAGGCGCTGGGAGCGGGAATACACACTCCACCCGACCCTGTTCCCCCATATCCCCAAACCTGGGCTTCTCTCAAGAAACGTGGGACGTGTACTTTACCATACGACCCAGGGGGTAAAAGTGGAGCAACCCTAGAATTTTCCTGATGCTACTAGGGACCTTCTTCTTGGTCAACCAGGGCCGGGGGAGGAGGGGAAGGAGAGAAGAGACTGGAAAGGGGGCTCAGGCTGAAGACTAACACCCATCGCTCGGGGGCGATGAAGAGGAAAGTTGAGCCCGAGGACAGTGAACCTGAATCCCCTGACTTGCGCCCCTTGGCTGCACAGTACTCCACACACCCAAAGGCCGCCCCCACCCCAACAAATGCAGAATTAACTCTGACATTCAGGGCCTGAAGGGGGAGAACGGAGTAGCTGCCGCGCATCTCCTCTTTCTATGTAGATGACACCAAGCCAGAAGCATCATCTCCAACCCCCTCAACCCACCCAGCGCATGGGAGATGGGGGGGGGGGGCGTTGGGAAGAGGAGGATCATGATAGGATGAGGTTTAGCAGCGGGTACCCGGGCTCTGACTGCTCACCGTTCGCGTGGTCCTCTTGCTGCTGCCGTTGATGCTGCATTTTTTTCATCATCATCATCATCATCATCCACGAACATTTATTGAGTGCCTACTGTGTGCAGGGCACTATGCTCAGCGTTAGGGAGGGGGAGGAACGGGTAAGGGGGTTACGGATAGGTAGGAGCCGCGGTCCCTGCCCTTATTTTCGCTTCAGCAGGGGGTGGGGAAGGACAGAGACAAATAACCAAAAATAAGGATAATTTATAAAAACCGCCTGCCACCCACGCTCCTTCTTTTTTCAAAAATGGAGCAAAATAAACTTTTTGTAAAAAATAAAATCAGATGTATATATTATCTTAATAATATATACATGTAATTTTTTTTTTTGCTGCAAAGGAGAATTGGCTTGGTCCCCTCCTC